CTTAAATTTTTTATGTCTGTGACAGCCACGACATGATTGAATGTCTGATTTGTGTTGATATGCGTCTCATAACTCTTGCAATCACCAATAATTCGTTATCATCCTTTCAAATTCTACAGAGACACTGTAAGTACAAAAAAAAATGCAGATGGCAAAATATATCTATTGAGGGAAATTCAAGGAGTTATAAAGGGAATTTATTTCTCGAAATCAAACTTACTTCAGAAATGATGATTGCTTTATTTTGCCACATAATGTGGAGACTGAAACAAAATGGAAGGAAAGGTATTCATATTAAAGAATTAATAGAAGTATGTAGCAATGGTAAGATATATTAACAGATATTTTTAAGTAAGTTCATTTATATCAAGTCACTGGTATAAATATTTATATAAATATGTATTATTGTCAACATGATTTAACCAAGATAATGCACAAACTTCATTCAATTTTATTTACATAGAGGGCCATATATTAGGTATCCCATACATGATATATGAATACCATGAGGTGTATATCAAAATACAGTAGCTGAAACACTTCATAAATAACATACAAAATAAAAAGAAAGCACAAATGGTGTTTTGCTCTGACATCGATCATTACGAAGTCCTTTGAGGATCATATAACATTGATGAATCCTCTAATGAAATTTAAATAGCTCTGAGAGCATTTTGAATTGTGGTGTCTTCGAAAAAAGTGGCAAAACAGCTTTTAACTGAATGCGAATATGTTTCATTCTCTGGGTCACCTTACCTTGGTAACAAAACCTCAATGTGGTAAAAGCAAGGTGACGGTTTAATTCTAATTATTGAGGTATATACAGATAATACAAATACTACAGAGAGTATGTATCTTTTATATAGTATGACATACTCACACATACACCCGGCAAATACATGCAAACACAAACCCCCCAAAAAACAATAACACATTTCTTACATCGGACTCGAAAATCTATACAATTACGTACATTCGAAAGGGGTAAAAGGGAGGGGCGGTTATTCCTCTCCGACGATTCCTTTAAATCTGAACCAGTCTGGGTGAGACTTTGAACAAAGGTACTGTGCAAATTTCTGCCAGGGGTGAAGCACACGCATTTAGGTCCCGTGTTTTTGTTTTGTTTTCACTGGGTGATGGAAGAAGAGAGTTAAAAAAACAGTGGACATGGGAGACACTTCACTTAAACTATTCCCGTTTGTTAGGGTTATATATATATATATATATATATATATATATATATATATATATATATATATATATATATATATATATATACTATATATATATATATATATATGCAAAACAACCACTCTGAAAGAATAGAGAAATTCCAAGCGCTTTCGTGACTATTCACATTATCATTACCCTTGATAATGTGAGTAGTCACGAAAGCGCTTGGAATTTTCTCTATTCTTTCAGAGTGGTTGTTTTGCATATTCTGAAATCACCTGTTTACTGTGATCTTATTGCATATATATATATATATATATATATATATATATTATATATATATATATATATATATATATATATATATATATATATATATTTATATATATATATAAATATATACATATACACTTTTTTCTTATGCTTTGACAGAAATAGACAGTAGTACACAAGTAGTTTATATTTTCTGATTAAATGTAACAAAGCACTCAGACCTGAACTTGCTAAAGTGAGTGAATATATTAATGGTGAAATCAGCCCAAAATTATTTACAAACTTACAAAAGTGAAATAAGTGAAATATTCTGGACCAACATCGAAAAGTTACTACCAACAATATCATTTATTGAGAATTTCAAACTAAACAATGAATGTTGGGCCACATACGTAAATCGAAATCACCGAATATCATGTTATTATTGATGTTGTACAGTAACGATCAGTTGACGAATAAGAAACACGTGAAATGTTTGAGTATCTTTTATTGCCAATATGTTGCACACGCTTTGCATTCATCAAAATCACCGAATCTGTGGAATGATCACTGGTAGTTTGAGTTGATGGTGGTGTTTTGATCGTCGCAAAACAGAAGATTCATGACACGGGTTCTCGTCCGTTGACGACCCGTTTGCTGACTTGAACAACCACGGTTACTGGGTGCTGAATAAAGGTAAAGCTCTATTTCTTTGTAAAGGTTTCAATGTGTAATTACAATTTTGGTTTGCTAAGTACAAAGAAAGCCACTATCATGCCAGCGTATTTCAGGCAGATGAATCTACATGTACCGTACTCTTGTAGACTTGCAGGTAAAACAAGCATATGCAATAAAAAGCAATAAACACACAAGGGAGCAAAGAATTCAGAGTTATAACGATGAATCGGACTGATTTTCCAAATCTCAGAATTTTTGCCATGAAAGGAGTGTTAAAACATAGAAAGCAAATGCATCGTAAGATTGTATACATTTTAAGTTATACTTATGCATTTAAAGCCTCAGGTTGCTTCATTGGAATGTACATATTATCTGACGTTTGCAGTATCAAATGAATACCAAGAAACAGATAATCACTTATTTTAACGACTCGAAGAATGGGTGTGATCTAAAACATTTTGGTAGAAAAACCTTATAAAGAAATTCAGAGTAGCATGAAAGTTTAAAAGAAAAATGAAGCATGGTGTTGGGAAGCTAGCGGGAAGTTTCGACCATCCCATTTTTCTTGCTCGTGGACTGATCACTCTCAGTGAGTGTTTGAGTCACTCTACACCGGTAGGAAATGACTGATGTAATATAAACATTCATGTCTTTATCTCCGGGACTGAAATCCCGTGGTTTATCAAGCTAGGAGGCTTATGAAGCAAGGAGGCTCATCAAATAAGGAGGCTTATCAAGCAAGGAGGCCTGTCAAGCAAGGAGACTTATCAAACAAGGAGGCTTATCAAGCAAGGAGGCTTGTCAAACAAGGAGACGTACCAAACAAGGAGGCTTGTCAAGCAAGGAGGCTTATCAAACAAGAAGGCTTGTCAAGCAAGGAAGCTTCTGCACGCCTTCATGGTCAAATTTGATGCACATTTCGGTAAAATTAAACAGGATTAGAATAAATCCTTTAGGGAACGGTGTCCCCCTCTTAGGTGATGAAATGATAAAGCTGACACTCCTTCTTACATGGGGTTGAAATACGCAGTGTTTTTATTTTGGATGTCATTCCACTTGATGCTTGTAGTTGAATACTCGACACGGCAGCCTCTCTCTAATCCAGCTCTTCCCAATCAAAACCTCAAACCTGCCTCTTCTTCCTTACTTTCCTTTCACTACTGTCCACATACCTTCTCTCTCTGTCTCTGTCTCTCTCTCTCTCTCTCTCTCTCTCTCTCTCTCTCTCTCTCTCTCTCTCTTCTCTCTCTCTCTCTCTCTCTCTCTCTCTCTCTCAGTCTCTCTCACTGACTTTCATCCAACCTCGAGTTTAATCCAATATAACGTTTCCAATCCCCTTATAGTTTTATTTTTTCTACACATTGTCCTCAGCACTCACTTATCCCGTGCCTTAATCTTAATTGCGGCGCCCTGGCCACCATCCTGGGCCTGCATATTGCATCGAAACAATTAAACACCGCTTGACCACCTTCAATATCTCGTCTATCACTTACTGACGCCGCTTTCTTTTACAATCTCCCCTGAACTTCTAATGCCATCTACCCCGTTTTCTTTTTTCTTTTCCTTTGCGAAGAAGAACGAGGTGTCACTGACAAAAAGTAGATTGAGTGTATATGCAATATATATATATATATATATATATATATATATATAATATATATATATATATATATATTATATATATATATATATATATATATTTGTCGTGCCAAATAGGTAAAACTGGTCATTTAGCAAGAACTCATTTAAAATTAAGTCCTTTCTAAAATTTTCTCTTATACGTTTAAAGATAATTTTTTTCCATTTATGTTAATGCAAAAATTAATAATTTTGTACCAAAAGAACCTTAGAAAACTTACGTAACTTTATTATAAGAAGCGCAAGTTAATTTAGCCTAATCCAACTTAATATATTTTAGACAAGTTTAGGTTCAGAATGATTTTTGCGAAATTATTGCATACACAAATTTTATCTTCCCTTATTCGGCAAAAAGAGCATTGCTATTTAAGCCAAAATCACAAGTTTTTCTATTCGGCATATATATATATATATATATATATATATATATATATATATATATATAATCAATAACAACACTGCAATGTTTCGTTCTCCTAGAGGCCTGGTCGTGGACCTGGCTGCGGGGGCGCTGACCCCCTGAACACCCTCCAGGTATACACTTTATCTAATTTTGAAAGGCTTTCTTTGCTCTACTTGTCCTTATACTACCCACCAGTTGAGATGTATATTGTATATTTGTGCAATTTATTTTATGTACATATTACCTACCTGAAACAAATTTTCTGTGTAGAAGATTTAGAATCAGCTCTTCTGCAGTTTGTGGTGATGCAACTGATCAGAGAAATGGGGAATAGTTTCTAAGGCTCATCTGACTTGGGAATAGATTAGATGTTGGTCCTCTTCCATGGGCAGACAGTTTTGGCAGAGAACCAGTTAATAGGATGACTCTGATCTCTAACATAACAGAAAAGAGCATTATTAATGTGGACATGGCTAACACTTCTTTTGTTCTCTTTAAGTCTGTCGGAAAAAGAAAAGCGAGCTTCTCCGACGTATTGGAGAGGACTAAAGGAGCAGTAAATGGAGTACATTCCGGAAATATCAGTGGCAGGAGAAGTATGAACTAGATTACTACTAAGAGTATTAGTTTGGCAACAAGTAAGTTTGATGTCTAGCGAGCGATGAGTATTATTGAGATTTAGGCGACTGGAAATATAGGAAAGGCAAAGTATAGATTTCACTGGAGAGGAGAATTTGTGAGAGAAGAAAGTCCGTTCAGCATGAAAGAGTTTATGACACTGGAGAAAGAATGAACTGTGAAGAGTTTAAATGGTTCAAGTCGGACCGAAAGTCGTCAAGAATTTCAATCTCTTATGTGAGTGTAGTTCTTGTATTGTTCCCGTAACGTATTGTGCCTTTTTGTTCTTTATAAATTATTTTGTTTCGGAAAAATCGTAATATCCCGATTGAAACTACTTAAAGAAATAAGCGGGGTAGGTATCGCATCAGACAGAAGTTCCTGTTCAAAACAGGGTTCTCAGGTCTATTGTAGTTACTCGGTAAAGAGATAGTGAATGACTAATACACTTTTAGTCTTGTGTTCAAACTTCTACCCTTCCTAGAAAAGAAAAATGTTCCCATTATCAGGGATTGTGTTATCTCTCAATGATACAGTTTTCATTTAGTGTATAGTGAGGGAGCAAGGACGCGGTTATCTCACTTGTGGCTCAGCGATTCTCCTTCCCTTGTGGCATTTTTGACTCCTGTCCTAGGATATCCTGAGGAAGTTGAGTCTCACCTCTTAGCCAATGCTTGTCCTCCGGTCTCTAATAGATTCACTCCTGGCCTCGAGGAACTTATCGTGCCTCTTCTTAATGCTGTATTTTAATCCTGCCTCTACCTCTCTATTCTCCAGGTTCCACTTCCTGACTACTCTAAGACTTTTTATGGACTGCTTTTACTTCCGCTTCCATGCTGCAATATATTGGTTAGATTGATAATTTTATTATGCACCCCGTACATAATGGGGCCAGGAACCACAACATTTCTTTGCTAAACAAGTTACGATGGCAATGAACTATTTACAAATATATTGACGTTGGAACAACAGTAATGAGTTTTCACAGTAACGAAATGAGTCACAGAAAATTATAGTGAATGTGGTTGTAAGTTGTTAGAGCGCCTAGTCTTTATTAAGCCCTGGTTTAATTTAGAAAAATTAAGGTAATAATGATTTATTTAAAATAGGCAGATAGGATATTTTTTACCTCTTTCTTTACAAAAAAATAGCTTAACATTTCCGCTACCTCTTTAACTCTGATTCTTTTAGAACAAACTGCCTACGTAATTCCATTTTTCTCCTCTCCATTCATACTTTTCCTTCCCCTTTGTACTTGCTTCAAACAGTAATATGACATCTAGTTTCCATATAGTGATAACATTAACAGTCATCTCAGTCTAAAGTTCGGTACTATATCCACACATTAATAAAACCCAATATTGAAATTTCCTCATTTCCTTGAAAATGAGGAATATAAAAAAAACCATTCTTTCCCCCATGTTATTGGAGAGGAAACACTGCAAGGATGAGAACTCTTTAAATATTCAGAAAACAAATAAAAGTGTTTGCTGAAAATAAGCAGAAGTGCAAGATTTATCCCACATCTTACAGATAGGTTAAATAATAAAGTAATCTCCCTCCTCTCTCTCTCTCTCTCTCTCTCTCTCTCTCTCTCTTGCTCTCCCTTCCTCTATCTCTTGCTCTCCCTCCCTTTTACCTCTTACTCTATCTCCCTTTACCTATTGTTCTCTCTCCCTCAACTTCTTGCTCTCCCTCCCTCTTATTCCCACTCTCCCTCCATCTTCCTACTACTCTCCCTCCCTCTTCCACTCTCCCTCCCTCCTCCCACTCTCCCTCTTCCACTCTCCCTCCCTCCTCCCACTCTCTTCCACTCTCCCTCCCTCCTCCCACTCTCCCTCTTCCACTCTCCCTCCCTCCTCTCACTCTCCCTCCTCCCGAGTCTAGACAAAGCAGCGTAAAAACCTTCAATATTCCATGAGAGCTACAAATAAGACCTCACCTACAGCGGGGCCAGCGTCGTGCTCAGCTCCAAAGTGTCGTCAATCCTCTCTGGCTCACTCCATTTTTAATCAGCACTTTCGAGGCGCGATGCATCTCTGGATGGAACTGGGATCACTGGCGGGGTCATTAAGAGCTCGCTTGCTGCCTCGTTCCGTCATTTACTCGCTCGATCGCTGACTTGTTCTTTCGATTGCTGACTCTTTCACTCGCTGATTCTAGTTCTTGTTCACTTACTCGCTGGCGAAAAGAGACGCGGAATTTAAATAAAAGAAGGAATAAAGCTGTAATAAAGAGTAAAGTAAATACACCAGGGAAATAAGAAATAAGAATTAGGCACAATATTATGAGATTTAATAATTAAATAAAAAAATATGGTTCATAATAAGAATAATGTTTAAATAATTAATCGCAATAATAGTAAAGCAGTAATAATACTTATAGAAAAATAATAAAATATTATTAATAATTATAATTAAATTAACAGAATTGCTGAAGATAAGGAAATACAGTAATTTTAAGAATATAATAATGAAAGGATTAAATTAAGCAACGAAAATGTAGAGAATATTTAAAAGAACAGTACTAGTAGTTTTAGCTGAATCGAATAATAATATAAAGAATATTTAAAGAAATAACAGTAATGACAGGAACGCCAACATCATCACCATCAAAATCATCTTAATTGCCAACTTCACCATAATCCTTAAAACCACCACCATAAAAATCGTAATCACCATCGCCATCATCATCATAATCCTTAAAACCACCGTCATAAAAATCATAATCACCATCGCCATCATCATCAAAATCTCCAACACCACACCATCATCATCAAAATCACCATCACCACACCATCCAAACCCCCAACGTCACTTACAGTTGCAAAACCACCAACATGAATATCCAAACCACCAGCGTCACCAATATCCATCTTAAGGAAAGCGTAGACAGGTGCAACTTATGAGAGATTGGAATCAGATCAGTTACACGAGAATGCCTTTTCTGATGGGCTTCAAACTCAGCTTGACATTCATTTTGCGCTGTGTAAATTTCAACTTGTTATTATTATTTATAAATTGTTGCGCCTATCTATACTGACATAAGAAAGTTCATGGTCTGCGAAATGGAACCGTAGTGAATATATTATCAATAGCTCATGTGTGTGTTTACTAATCACACTGTCTGTAATTTTAACAATTATAAAATCACTAGCATAGCCAACACCAACAATATCAACACCACCGTCATCACAAATACCACCATCACCACCTGCACCAAAACTTGCACTAGCAACACCAAGAGTAACACACTACAGTTAGCATCAGCATTATCACTGGTTACCACACCCCTTCCCTACACACCTCCGCTATATACCCAGCTCACCCTCACTACAAACCTCCACGAGTCTCATTTGCGTATCCTTCCTTCTGTCGTTTCAAGTGTCCTAGTACAAGGACTCCCAGTGACACCTCTCTCCTTTCTCAAATGCGCATTTGAGTAGCTAGAGAGCGCCTCTCTTTAAAGATTAACGGACGGAGGCTTGAATTTCCACCAATTCTTAGGACCTAATGACCCATAATAATAATAATAATATGAATAATAAGAATAATTATAATATCAATATTATTATTATTATTATTATTATTATTATTCACCTGCCGCGCCTCTCTCAAAAGTCCCCGAGAAGATCAGTGAAATAAATTTCATTGAACAGAATGAAACCTCGTCCCCCTTCTCCTCTTGCCCTGCACTTTATGGAGTACACATTGCAGGAAGTTGTACAGAAAGCAACGCCAGGAACTGAGGAAACGGCTCTCAGAGACACACTGAGAGGCGCCCATATTCATTTCAGAATATTCAAGGGTTGATATACAATCTAAATTCCTATTTTTACAATTTAATCTTTTATTCGTGTCTTTATTATTCTTATGGTGTCTTCTACAATTTAAGGAGATTTTATGGACTTTAAAATATAGACTAGCTATTATAATAATTCTGATTTTGCTGTTAATTAAGGAAGTCGAAAGACGAGATAGACTGTCAGTGATTGTGCTCTGCTAATCACACAAGGCGACAGATTTACTGCCGTTCTCTTCCAATCAGGCGGGTCTAGCTACTAAATCAAGTTCATCTGTCCACGATTTGGTGGCTGCCGCGGGATGCCTCTGGTTCAAGCAGTTTCCTCGTTAGTGATGACCAATTGTGTGACGTTCTCGTCTGGCTTTGATCATCCTGTTGCGAGGCTGATTGAGTGCCCACATGCCCCCACTTACTGACCTCACTGCCACCCTGATTGCCATTTGGATAGATCGGTCGAGGGCATCGACAACATAGATCTGGACACATGTATATATGCATATGTGCATCGGAATATACGCATATATGCACATGTAAGGATCATATTGAAACATTAATAGAACTTAAATATCTATACTTAAATATCTGATCGCTACAAGTACACACACACACACACCAAAAACACACACACACACACACACACACACCAAAAAAAAAAAAGGCACTAAACTATAGACCAGTGTCACTGACGTGTATAGTATGCAAAGTCATGGAGGAGATTATCAGGAGGAGTGTGGTGGAGCACCTAGAATGGAACAAGAGTATAAACGACAACCAGCACGGATTCATGGAGGGCAAATCCTTAGTCACAAACCTTCAGGAGTTTTATGATAAACTAACAGAAGTAAGACACGAGACAGAGGGGTGGGTTGATTGCATTGTCTTGGACTGCAAGAAGGCCTTTGGCACACTGCCTCAAAAGAGATCAGTGCAGAAGCTAGAGGATCAGGTGCGTATAACGGGAAGGGCACTGCAGTGGATCGGAGAATACGTGACAGGGAGGCAACGAGTCAAGGTACGTGATGAGGTATCACAGTGGACACCTGTGACGAGCGGGGTCCCACATGTGTCGGTCCTAGTACCGGTGCTATTTTTGGTATATGTGAATGACAAGAAAACGCTAGACTCAGAGGTGTCCCTGTTCGCAGATGATGTGAAGTTAATTAGGAGAATTAAATCAGATGAGAATCAGGCAGGACTTCAAAGAGACCTGGACAGGCTGGACACCTGGTCCAGCGACTGGCTTTTCGAATTTAACCCCGCCAAATGCAAAGTCATGAAGATCGGGGAAGGTCAAAGAAGACCGCAGACAGAGTATAGGCTACGTGGCCAAAGACTGCAAACCTCGCTCAAGGAGAAACATCTTGGGATGTGTATAACACCGAGCACGTCTCCGGAAGCACACATCAACCAGATAACTGCTGCAGCATATGGGCGCCTGGCAAACCTGAGAATAGCATTCCGATACCTAAGTAAGGAATCTTTCAAGACACTGTACGCCGTGTACGTCAGGCCGATAATGGAGTATGCAGCACCAGTTTGGAACCCACACCGGGTCAAGCACATCAAGAAATTAGAGAAAGTGCTAAGGTTTGAGACGAGGTTAGTTCCAAAGCTCAGGAGAATGTCCTACGAAGAAAGGTTAGGGAAATCGGCCTGACGACACTGGTTGGACAGGAAGGTTGGGGGAAACATTATAACGACATACAAAATACTGCGTGGAATAGACAAGGTGAACAGAGACAGGATGTTCCAGAGATGGGACACAAAAACAAGGGGTCACACTTGTAAGTTGAAGAGTCAGATGAGTCAAGGGATATTAGTAAGTATTTCTTCAGTCATAGAGCAGTCAGGAAGTGGAACAGTGTGGCGAGTGATGTAGTGGAGACAGGAACCATACATAGCTTTAAGATGAGGTATGATAGAGCTCATGGAGCAGGGAGAGAAAAGACCTAGTAGCGTTCAGTGAAGAGGCGGGGCCAGGAGCTGAGAGTCTCGACCCCTGCAACCACAATTAGGTGAGTACAATTAGGTGAGTCACACACACACACACACACACACACACACACACACATCTTAGGATAAGTAAGCACATTAACCCTCCTCAGGCTTTGTATGTTTGTCACTTTTACTGTGGACTATTTTTCATGTCTGTGATTTGCTCTATATTGATATATTATCTATATATATATTAATATAACATCACTATATATATATATATATATATAATATATATATATATATATTATATAGGGAAGTATATATGTTGTAGTGTTGTGTGTTAAAAAACATCTTTTATATAACTTTGTTATGCGTGAATCTAGAAAGTTAACAAAATAGTTTTTATACATGTTAGGTCGTTAATAAAAAGCAACTCAAATTTTCAGCTGTAGGTCGTTTAACACAGTCAATTACATGTTGGTTATATACCGTCAACTTACATGTTAGGTCGTTATTACTTACTTAGTCTTAACACTCACATGTTAGTCTTATCATCCATCAACTTACATGTTATCGTTTATACACAGTCAACTTAGCCATCTATTCTTTTCCTTCTAATTTGGTTTTTCTATTACTTCCTTATTGCTTCATATTATTTTTGGCTCTATTTGGCATTTTCTCTACCCTATTTAATTATTTCCTATTTCCTTTTCACTCTCCAAATTTCCTAACACCCGTGATTTAATTTCACATTTATCTCTATTTACGAACCTTTTGTCTTTTTTTCCTCAAATCAAAAATAAACCTTCCCTCAATATGGCAATGCCTCTGAGTATATTCTCATTTGTTCTCAGTTTTTTCTCGTTCAAGTATTTGTAAGACCATTAGCCTAATATGAAAATAAATGGTATAAAATACCGACACAGTGGAAAATTCAACAATAAGCATAAAGTTGCATTTAATTACAAAGATTTCAAGCCCACAGTGGCTATAAGATCTTTTGTGACTTATAAGCCCACAGTTTGGTGGTCGATTCCCAGGGGCACATTATTGTTCCTGTGTAACATTTTTCAGTCCTATAACTATGGATTTTGACTGAATGCCATCCAAAATTTAATCTTTTCAGCTCAAGGACCGATTCATTTGTCTCGAGATGGTAGGACTCACAACAAATTTTGTGACATGAGGTTCCTAATGTAGAAACTTATATAAATAACTGTGCATAATTCTTCCTAAAAATAAACAGTTAAATATAATTAATAATAATTTATTTTTCTATCATTGATATTAAGCATAGTGAGAACTATTCTTCACGTGACCAGTGTGAAGTTTCCCCTTCCCACAATGCACTTTGGGTCACTAATAAAGCCGACCCACTAGTTAGAAACCCCCTCAAAGATAGATTTAACCTTTTCATGGTCTTCTAAAAGAATCTTTGTTTTAACTTCTCAAAGCAATTCTTAGCTTTGCTAGCCATGCATATATTGCTTATGAGGTGGGGTTAATGTGTGTTTCGGGCCAGATAGTTGATTTGATATTCACCCTAGGTCTTTTCTCTTGTCGGACATTTGGTGTTGCTTCCTTCCCAATCTGTACTCCGTCACAAGGCTTCTCTCCACCACTTAAACTTTCATGACCTTGCACTTGTCAGGGTTGAACTCCAGTAAACATTTGACTAGACCTGCAACGAATTTAAATCTCTTTGTAGTCTGACTTAAACCCTCTATCAATTTTTTCCCCAGTTAAATTATAGTTAACAGCAAACCGTAATATTTAAACGTCAATCTCCTATTGAAGGTTGTTTACATATATCAGGAATTGTGTGTGTGTGTGTGTGTGTGTGTATTGGGGTGCTTGTTTGCGTGTGTACGTATAAGGTGGAGGGAGTGTAGGTGTGTGCGCGCGCGCACGTGTTCTAACCAGAGAGCATTAATGTTTCTGCTCGCATTAATCTTATGCAAATCGTGTAGGTGTTTGGTCGTGACTCAGAGCATCAGCGTCCCGGGCGGCCACGGGGACACAGGTAAAACACCTGGCTGTAATTATAAACGGCGGGAGCGAGCAAACGTTGCGGACACATAACTTAGGCGAGGAGTGGGCCGCCTGCGGCCTCTAATGAGTAACTGGACCAAAAGTCCCCGTGTGCCTCGCTTCCTCATGCTCATTAATCTAAATTATTTCACAGCTAGAGGGGAAAAATGCAAGTGTGAGGGTGAATACCTCTTTGCTAATCCAGCGCTCTCCCCTCTTCCCCCTGTTCGTCACCTCCTAGCATTCCCCCCCCCCTCCTTCTCCCCTTTCCTATCCTCCCTTCCCTTCTTGCATCCCTGCTCCTTCTCGAAGTAGCCAAGGGACGAATGGGGGATAGGGGGGTATCCAAAACAGGGAGTTTAATCCCTAAACGAGGCAACGGCCACTCTGCAGTTACTTTGGACATTTTCTGTAGAATTAACAGTCGTATCTGGACTCGACAGTGCCCTGCCTACCTAAATATCTCAGAGCCAGAATGTTCTTTTGATTAAGATAAGCTTGTTCGCATTAGCGGGGTCCCTGATGGTGAGGCACGAGGGTCGTATCCCCGGCAAGGAGATGAAGCAAAGTCACCTGTACCTCGAAGCACCAACGGCAGGATGCTCCCTACTGCTGGAATGGCTAATGTACCCTCATTGAATTCCATAATTGATATGCAAAGTCAGCTTTACAATTATATTGATTTTACAACGCAGCCACTTAACGAAGAGCTGACCAGGCCGGACCATTATGTGTGACGTAGCGGGCAATACTCTGCCTTATGTAGTCCTACAGCAAGGGTGGCTGCTACCCTGCGGTAGGTCCGTCCGCCTGCCGGCGCAGCGACGTTGGCGATGGTTCACTAAGGCTCTTGCCCAGACGAGAGACATATGAAAATTAGCCGTATTGTATCGCCCGGCACCGAGGCTTAACGATGGCACTGTGTCGGGAGCGATAATCAGGGAGGGGGGGTGCGGCCCAAGAGGCAGCATGGCTTGCATATTGTGTTGTTGCTAGCCAGTGGTCCCGTCGCTCTCCTCCCCTTAACTTACCTCCCCAACTCTCCTAACCCCCCACCTCCTTTCCCTTTACACCTCCCCCAGTGGTGAGGGAAGTGACCAGCTTCAAGGGGTTGTCTCAGGGGCCGGCGACGCCTTCCAAAATGAATGTGCTACAATAGTTGCTGTGGGGCCCTGTTTGCTGTGTAATTAATTTCACACTGGAGAGTTAAACATCCTAGGCTGTGGTTCCTCAACTGGCTGTTTACCATATATTTCCTTTGACCGATTTTCCTGTGTGTGTGTGTGTGTGTGTGTGTGTGTGTGTGTGTGTGTGTGTACTCACCTAGTTACTCACCTAGTTGAGGTTGCAGGGGTCGAGTCCAAGCTCCTGGCTCAGCCTCTTCATTGGTCGCTACTAGGTCACACTCCCTGAACCTTGAGCTTTATCATACCTCTGCTTAAAGCTATCTGTGTGTGTATGTGTGTGTGTGTGTGTGTGTGTGTGTGTGTGTGTGTGTGTGTGTGTGTGTGTGTGTGTGTGCGTGTGTGTATGTTTCTATACAATACTGACAAGATGAAGAAAAACATGTGCAGAATTGGGGTATCTTTATTGTAGACGTTTCATTATTTAATGATTCTATTAATAGATTCAAGGATATAACTGGAAGACAGTAGAACTGTGTACAAAAGATAAGATAATCAGTCCTTCAGTCTAAGAGTTGGTGAAGAGCACCGTAGCCCTCAAGAATCTGAATCACAGGCATAAGGGCCGATCTTCATGCCTGTGACTCAGATTCTTCACGACTACGTTAATTCAGTTAGTTACAGAATTTCCGGTACACTCACAGGAAACCAAAAACGTGATTTTTCCCAAATTTTGCAATATTGGCGAAAATTTAAAAAAAAAAAAAAAATCTTCCCCCGAATGTTCAAAATACTTCACATATACATACACATAGTTGCCAATTGATTAGGTACACCCTTCTAGAACAGCCTGAACTCGCATGGATTCAACAAGGTGTTGGAAACATTCCAAAGAGATTCTGGTTCATGTTGAGATAACTGTTTCACCCAGTTGCTGCAGATTTGTTGGATGCACATTCATGCTGCGAATCTCCCGCTCGACCTCATTGCGAAGGTGTATGCTCAATTCTGACCCTACCATTTACATTTAGCAGCAGAAATCGCGATTTGTCGGACCAGGTGACATTTTTCCAATCGTTAACTTTCCAGTTTTGCTTAATCTTTGCCCACTGTAGCCTCAGTTTCTCTTTTTATTTAATAGGAATGGAGCCCGATGCGCTCTTCAATTGGTGTATCCTGTCCACTTCAGGTTCGACGTGTTGTGCTTTCAGAGATGTTTCTCAGCATACCACTATTGTAACACATGGTTATTTGAGTTACTGTCACCTTCCTGTCAGCTTGAAAAAATCTAGCTATTCTCCTCTGACCTCTCTCATTATCAAGACTTTTTCACCCACAGAACTGCCACTCACTGGATGATCTGTGCTTTTCACACCATTCGTTGTAAAAGCTAGAGATTGTTGTGCGTGAAAATCCCAGTTGTTTCTGACATACTCAAACTATCCCTTTTGGCATCAGCAGTCATTCCACAGTGAGTCACTTCGTTCATATTTCTTTACTATTCTGGTGTTTTGTCTGAAAAAAGAACTGAACCTCTTAACCATGTCTGCGAGCTTCTAAGAAATGAGGTGCTGCCACATGATTAGCTCATTAGATATTTACATTAAATTAACTACAAAGTGTCTCTACATTATACACATTCCACGCATACACAAATTATTTCATACACACACATTACTGTACTTATATTACTGACACATATTGTATTCATTCTCACACACTTCGTCGATATGTATATACATAACTTAATAAAATACATAACTGAACAAGAATAATTGAAAGAGCGTTAAAATTCGTTCTCCATCACATACGGTGTAAGAATGGGTCTGATAGATCTGCTATCAGTACCCACAAAAAATCTGGTTTCCACGTTAGGAACCTCACTGGTAAAAGAGGCGAGAAATAATGATTGCGAACAAACATCACACATAGTGCTATATAAATTTCTCGACGTTGTACTCAACAGTAATTTCTTAAGGCTTCAACGTTTTTATTTTTGTATTTTCTATTAAGCGTAAACGTCTGTATAATTCTCGTATATTCATCATAACCATCGGTATATATCGAATGTTTTTCAACATGAATATCTCAATATTTCTTGTTTTTTTCAGCACAAGCAAGTGTACATATATATTCTTCACTAAAATAATTAGTTCTATCTGCGTAAACCGAACTTCTGACAGTCATTATTACGAAATTATTCTAATTCCACAAATGTAAATTAAATTATCTCCACATTTTGTCAATAATAAAATTGTAAAAATTAGCCGAATATACAAATGAAAAATATTTTGATATGTCGTAATGGAAAATAATTAATTCATTAGTCTCTGACGCAATGGACACTTCAATACCTGAATAATGATGTCAGCGATGTGATTCTCTGAGGGTGTCTGTCTGTGTCGACTAATGCATTAGCATCACGTTATCGCCATCGTTATCACCATCGTTATCACCATCGTTATCACCATCGTTATCATTATCATTGTTATGATTAACGTCATCAGTATTTTTTTTCTCTGTTACATCATTTGTTATTAAATATTTTGATTAAATATCATATATTAGAAGAAGTCGTAGAAATATTTGTAGAAATATATATACATTTTAGAGGAGCTGGAGGAAATCCATAATCTTTAACATATTGTACCATTATATTCATGTTTGTGTTTTCTGTAAATGTATTCTGTCTATTTATAAATTTTCCCATAGAATATAAAATATAGGGCGTGGTAGAAGAAAATATTCAAACAGCTCCGGGGAGAACATAAGAACATAAGAACATAAGAAAGGAGGAACACTGCAGGAGGCCTGTTGGCCCATACTAGGCAGGTCCTTTACAATTCATCCCACTAACAAACATTTGACCAACCCAATTTTCAATGCCACCCAAAAAACAAGGTCCGATGTGAAAGTCCCACTCAAATCCAACCCCTCCCACTCATGTACTTATCCAACCTAAATCTGAAACTACCCAAAGTCCTAGCCTCAATAACCCAACTAGGTAGACTGTTCCAATCATCAACTACCCTATTTCCAAACCAATACTTTCCTATGTCCTTTCTAAATCTAAACTTATCTAATTTAAATCCATTACTGCGGGTTCTCTCTTGGAGAGACATCCTCAAGACCTTGTTAATATCCCCTTTATTAATACCTATCTTCCACTTATACACTTCGATCAGGTCTCCCCTCATTCTTCGTCTAACAAGTGAATGTAACTTAAGAGTCTTCAATCTTTCTTCATAAGGAAGATTTCTAATGCTATGTATTAATTTAGTCATCCTACGCTGAATGTTTTCTAACGAATTTATGTCCATTCTGTAATATGGAGACCAGAATTGAGCTGCATAATCTAGGTGACGCCTTACTAATGATGTATAAAGCTGCAGTATGACCTCTGGACTTCTGTTGCTTACACTTCTTGATATAAATCCCAGTAATCTATTTGCCTTATTACGTACGCTTAGGCATTGCTGTCTTGAGTTTTCCCTGAGGTACGTTTATTGTCTTCTCTGAGGATGAGGGTCCCCAGTCCAGCTCTAGAGGTCGCACTTCCCTATATATATATATATATATATATATATATATATATATATATATATATATATATATATATATATATATATATATATATATATATATATATATATATATATATATATATCGTGCCGAATAGGCAGAACTTGCGATCTTGGCTTAAATAGCAACACTCATCTTGCCATATAGGACAAGCGAAAATTTGACAATGGAATAATTTTGCCAAAATCATTCTTAACCTAACGAAAAAAATATATTTCACTGTGTTTGTTTAGTATTAAATTACTGTAAACAAATCTAAAATATATTTAGTTGGGTTAGACTTAAACAAATTGTTCTTGTTATAATAAGGTTAGGTAAGTTTTCTAAGATTCTTTTGGTGCAAAATTAAATTTTTTTACATTAACATTAATGAAAAAATATATCTTTAAACGTATAAGAGAAAATTTTAGAAAGGACTTAGTTTTAAATGAGTTCTTGCTAATTGACCAGTTTTACATATTCAGCACGACATATATATATATACGTATATACATTGTGCCAGATAAGTGAAACTTGCTATTTTGGCTTAAATAGCAACGCACTTCTTGCCAAATAGGGCAAGCCGAAATTTGTGAATGAAATAATTTCGCAAAAATAATTCTGAATCTAACAAAAATATATTTGATTGTGTTTGTTTATTATTAAGTTATTGTAAACTTATATAAATATATTTAGTTGAATTATGCTAAATTAAATTGCGCTTGTTATAATAAGGTTAAGTAAGTTTCCTAAGGCGCTTTTGGTATAACATCATTAATTTTTATATTAACGTGAATGAAAAAAATATGTATCTTTAAATGTATAAGAGAAAATTTTAGAAAGGACTTAGTATCAAATGAGTTTTTGCTAAATGACCAGTTTTACCTATATATATATATATATATATTATATATATATATATATATTATATATATTTATATATATATATATATATATATATATATATATATATATATATATATTCATCTACAACCATCTAGAAATCTTCACCACTATACTACTACTACTACTACTACTACTACTACTACTACCATCATTACCACTACCCCACCTCATCATCATTATCACCTCCACAACCACTATCACCTCTCATCACCATCACAATAATCACCATCACCACCCCTAGCATCGCAAACGCATCTTCACCATTATCCCACCACCATAACTTCAATCGTAGTCACCACGACCACCTCCACAATCATCACTACCACCACTATCCTCACCATCACAGTCACAACTATCTCTACTATCATCCTGATCCCTGCCACTACTACCACTACCACTGTCCTCACAATCATCGCTGCCATCACTATCCCCACCATCACAGCCACAGCTATCTCCACAACGATACCCATCCCCACCTCCATCACCACAACTACCATCCCCACCACTAACACCACCTCTACCACCTCTATTTCACCACCACCACTGTCACTACCATGATAACCATATCTATTAGAATTAGATTATATACATTACACTTCCCAAAGTGCTCAAACTATATTTTCTCTTCCTCCCTCTCTCCCTCCTCTCACACACATAACCTCCTTATTTCCCCTCACGAACTACCCCTCACATTCCCCCCATTTCCCCTTATCTATGTCTTCTCCCTCTTTTTTCAAGAAAAAAATTACTTTAAGCACTTATTTTTGCTTTCTTCTTCATTTTCTTCCCTCACTTTTGGTCACTTTAACCTTTTCGTTCATTTTTATTTCCTTAAGTATTTTATTCCATTCCCGCATTTTCTCTCTTCGGCTTCTCTTATCCTCTCAGATTTTTCCTTTTCACTGTCTTCTCCCCTTACCTTTTTTGCTCTCTCTCTCTCTCTCTCTCTCTCTCTCTCTCTCTCTCTCTCTCTCTCTCTCTCTCTCTCTCTCTCTCTCTCTCTCTCTCTCTCTCTTTCCCTCTTACTCTCCCCTTTTCTCCCTTCCCGAGTCCTTTCATCCCTCACTTTTTATTTTTCCTTCCCTAGACATTAAACCAAACTTCAGCAGGTTAGAATCGTGAAGCTCTTCCATTAAAAAAATAAGAGCGGTAATGAATGTCTTGATTATAATAATAATAATAATAATAATAATAATAATAATAATAATTATAATAATGGTATTATTATTGATTGTATTATTATTATTATTATTATTATTATTATTATTATTATTATTATTATTATTATTATTATTATTATTGTTCTTGTTATTTTATAATTATTATTATTAGTAGTAGTAGTAGTAGTAGTAGTAGTAGTATTAGTAGTAGTAATAGTAATAGTAGCAATAGTAGTAGTATATTTTTATTATTATTATTACTTTTCTTCTTCTTCTTCTTCTTCTTATTATTATTATTATTATTATTATTATTATTATTATTATTATTATTATTATTATTATTCAAAGTAACATGTTAAAATAGGATTTGATACATAAACGAAATGTCGTTTTACATTACCCATTTATTCTTGTTATCATCGTAACAACCATTATCATAACAATCATTATCATAACAGTACTCATCCCACCCAACCCTCTGTTCAGTGCAACAAGTGACACAAAGTTTATTTACTTCTCAGAGCGTGATGGTAGGCACCAGACCGTGCCGGGAACAGCGTGTGGCACAGTATTTGGCATCATTTCCCAGAATGATTTGAAATACTCCCTTGGTGGGTAAGTGGTGGTGAGGAAGCATGTGTGAGTGGTTCAATTTATTCATCCTCTAGGAGAAAAATAAGCAACAGTAGACGCCTCATCACGTAGGTTGTCAAACTGCCTGAGGTACCTGTAACCAAGCCTAAGATTGACCACAGCATCAGTTTGTTGACATGACAAGTTGCTTCGTAAACATGGTTATTTACGTTCACGTGATGAGTTGTAGATCCAGGCTACCGTTCACAGAACGGAGATGGGGAGCACAATAAACTAGCCACTTCGGAGGTAATATCTAAAATCATTGCCTTTCTTCCCCCCCCCCTCTCTTTCTTCCATTTTTCTTTCCTTCCTCTTCGTCCTCTTTTTCTATTAGTTACCACCTTATCCCCGAATTACTCCTTATTGCAATTTGCTACGTTTTTCCCTTAATTCTTTTGCGTCTTTTATGTTTTTTTCTGTCTCTTTATATTTTTCCCTAATTACTTTGCTATTCCTTGGCTTCATACATTCTAATTCTTCATTGTTCTTAAATTATTCCTGCTCTGAGTATTTCTTAATCACCGTATTGTTAGTTAATAATTCACTGCAGCTATATTTGCTAATTTCTCTATTATCTTTTTCTCTTCTAATCTGTCGACCTAATGTTAGTCAGTTAATATTTCAAGCTATTACTACATGTTCTTGCATTTATCCTCTACCCTGGTACCGTATTCGTTTCTACCATCATGACTCACAAAATCGTAATAACACGATTGTAAACAAACCACGAAACGGGCGGGGATTGAACCCTAGCAAGTGAGCCCTAAAAGTTACACACTGGCCAACAGTTTTAGGACTCAATTGCCATGAGTAGAATCCCTACCCGTTCCATGGTTCGTTTCTACCAGTTTGTCTTCTAACTCACTTTTTATTTCATCCCCATTTATCCGCATCATACTATTTTCAATCATATCTTGCCAGTTATCATACTTCTCCAATATTTTTCTCTGCTTCTTCCTTTATCTCCCACTCCAAAATTTATTTCTAAAACCTGGATTTTTATCATTGCCTAGAAAAGTTCATAATCCCTCTTTACATAGACACTAACATGTTCAGTCTTTATCTTGAACCGATTGCAATAAAACAAGTGCTACTGTGGATCGATTGCACTGAAGCAGCACATTATTAAACTCTTTG